GACCCACTGTCCCAGCCAGTCCCAGAGTGTGAAAGGACAGTGTCTGAGCCATTGTCCCGGCCAGTCCCAGAGTGTGAAAAGACTGTGTCTGATCCATTGTCCCGGCCAATCCCAGAGTGTGAAAGGACAGTGTCTGACCCACTGTCCCGGCCAGTCCCAGAGTGTGAAAGGACGGTGTCTGACCCACTCTCCCGGCTAGTCCCAGAGTGCGAATGGACAGTGTCTGACCCACTGTCACGGCCAGTCCCAGAGTGCGAAAGGACAGCATCTGACCCACTGTCCCAGCCAGTCCCAGACATTCCTTTTACTCTGTCTCAATCCTGACTTTGCCCAGACCCTAAATCGTTTAAGTAATTACCTGTAAGCGAATTTAAACTGAGGCTGAACACAAGCAGCGCCTGTTACCTGTTGGGTAAAGTATTTGAGACATTCCTGGGCACATCTTTGTGGGAAATTCTGGAGAGCGACTGTGTCGTTGATATACAGCGACAGTTCCTGTGATGAGCCGAAGTGGAAGAGGAGGTACTCATTTAGAGCTCGCTGCGTTTCATACACGTTCTCCCGTGTGTCTGCCCGTCCCTCCGAGGTCACGAGGCGCCTCCACAGATGGTAGAAGGTGCAGCCACCAGCCAGCAGGATCGCGGACCCGAGCAGCACCGGCTTGGGATCCTTCAAAGAATGAAGTGCTGGCATTGTGATTGGCAGAGCAAGGGTACAGGGCAGCAGCAGATGGGAATGGAAGAGAAGCCAGCAACAGGAATGTGCCCTGTGACTGAAAGCAAACACTCTCCTTAACACAAGGTCGTTTGGTTGAAACAGCCCCTTTGTTTGTACAAAGTTTCGAATTCAAAGCAGTCTAAAGTCCTCCACAACTCCTTTGTTGTAAAGGGGTACACAGCCAGGTTACAAAGCTGCAAGCGACTGAAGGGCTTATTTTGCTGATCGGTCTGGCTTGACCTTTGTACTTAAAGTGCTGCACTACAATTGGGCAAAAGCGCGGTGAAGCTGAAATTGGAAGAGATGGGGGGAGGGGTCAGCATCAGGGGAAGATTTACAGTTTGAATCATTGCCACTCACTGATTTTTTTCTCTCTCTCCTCAAGCACTGCCTCCTGGCATTTGCAGGACTCTGTTTGTCCTTAACACTTGTACGTCGTTTGTGGCTGTGTTTGTACTAATCTCCACTGGGTCTAGTTAGACACTAGCAGAGAAGAGGTGCATCTTACTGTCTTAGTGGGTCGGGGCAGATCAGAGTAACCTCAATACCATCTTCTGAGTTGCGAGCTACCCAGGAGGAAATGTCAGTGAAACTTGCAAACACCACGCTCTGGGCCGCATTATTTTATATAGCCTACAACAGTGCGTTCATTTCCAAGTGTTACTGCATTTTTTTAAAACACAGTACCCTCTGGGTGAGTGGGGGTGGGGAAGTGACCATTCGTCCAGCTGATTCTCTCGCTCTGTGCTAGCCCAGTGCAGCATGCACGCTCACATGTGATTTTCTATCATGCCTCCATGCGCAACTAGGTTTGTACAGTCATGGGGTGGGGAGGGATGGAGCAGTTCACATAGAACGATCAGAAGGAACTGAGGGCCTTCTGTTATTTGCTTTCATTGTACCCCTATTGTGTGGAAGCAGGCCATTTGGTCCATCAAGTCCACACTGACCTTCCAAACAGCATCCCACCCAGACCACCCCCCCGATCCCTGGAGGAAACGCACACAGACACAGGGAGAAGGTGCAAACTCGACACAAACAGTTGCCTGAGGGTGGAATCGAACCCAGGTCCCTGGTGCTGTGAGGCAGCAGTGCTAACCACTGAGTCACTGCGCTGCCCCATGGTGGCAAAATTACTAGGTTTGCAATTAACAACAGTGCAGACTTGTCAAGGCTCCCGGTGTTGGAGCACTGCAGTCAGGCCTTAGCACTCGTTCCTCCTGAAGCTCAGTGAGTGATAGAGTCATAGAATTATACAGCACAAAAACAGACTCTTCAGTCCAACTCATCCATGCTGACCAGATATCCTAAACTGACCTCGTCCCATTTGCCAGCATTTGAGAATAGAATTCCCTTCTGTGGCAAGCCCACTGTAACTATTCTGTCATCCAAGCACCATGTAATGACTATAATCACACCCAAGATGGAGTTTAACAGTCTTACCTTGGCATCCAATGATGTTACTTTCGTCAAATCCTCCACCATTGGCCAGCATCACTGACCAGAATCCTAATGGCCAGCCACATTAATACTGAGGCTTCAGGTACAGGTCAGAGGCTGGTTGTTCTGGAGCTAATGGCCTGCTTCCCAGTTCCGCACCACTTAACAAAAGACACGAGTAAGGTGTGCGATGGAACACCATCACTTACAAGTTCCCTTCCAAATCACAGACCATCCTGACTTGGAAATCTATGCTGCTCCTTCACCGTCACTGGGTAAAAACCTGGAACCCCTTCCTATAGCAGTACTGTGAATGCATCACTTTACGGGCGGAGATTTTAATTGTGGAAATTGAGAGTGCTGCCTGCAATGCATACAGGCAATCATATTGAATTGCAAACCCGACAAACTGCTCTGCAATCAGCAGCCTGCCTGACACTTGCATGAGCAGTCACACGACCTGAATGTTGCCCTGTCTCCACCATGGGTAGATGGGTGAACATGCGGAGCCCACTTTTTCACTAACCACATGGAAAGACAGTCAGGAAGATGGAATACATCTTCTGGGGTGTGCCATAGGTGCATCAAGGGAACCCTTCCTCTCCTCCCACTCACCGTCCCCCTCCCCCGGCCTCCAAAACCCATCTCCCTGGCCTCCTGTCTGACAGTGACTGATCACTCCAGCCAAGGTATCTGAGACTAACCCAGATCTCTCCTCATTGCATTGCTCACTGCCAAGCTATCAATGCTAAGGCAAATTGTGAAACACTTACTGTTGAGATTATGTCGTGCGCAGCAACATAACTCGAACGAGATTGGAACATATGTGCTCGGATTAACTTCAGTCAGGACTGGATGGAGAGCAGTTGTTGAAATTCAGGGATAATTACAGGGTATTATGACCAGACACTGGACAAAGTTTCCCCAGTTCTTTACAGTTCCAAATGAGATACCCCAAATGTCTGAACTCCCGGGTGAGGAGAAATGAACTAATTCCCTTCAGTTATTTACCTGCCCACTTGATTGGTTGCAATAAGGTGAATTTAAAATGGAATTTTTCGTTCTCTCCAATTTCGCCAAATAACTTTCTCCTGGATCTAAATGAATTTATGTTTTAAAATGAGCCAATTTGGCCAAAATTTCTTGAATTAATAAAATAATTACTTTATTAACTACTAAAGATGAAAATAAATGATGACTGCACACCAGACACAGACACAGACACACAAACAGATACACACACACACGTACACACCATTAAAATGATGTATGGATCTCTGAATTGGCCATGAGGAACGGTTATAAAGGTGTTGAAGCCATTATTTGTATTGGGTAGCAGAGACATTAGGAGTTGAGCAATCAATTTTGAGATTCTTGGTTTTGAGTGTTGATTAAAATACTGTTACTTTGACTCTTTTTGCTTGTGACTGAATTTCAGCATTCAGAGTGAGAAAGAGTGTTTCTGTTTGGGTTGCTTGCAGTGCAAGGGTGTTTAAAACAGCTGCTCCAAAACTGTAGCTCTCATAACACCCCAGCCCACAGACTAGGAACTTTGGCCAGTAAAACACACAGACAAATGTTGTAATCATTTTTTAATCCCTTTCCTTGTATATTCCTGGAGGGTAAAACAAGATGTATCTGCAGGATGCGGCATTCTGCTGAGAGGAGGGATAGTCAGCCCCTTCATTATCTCTTCTTGTTAAGTCTCTCCCTTTTTGAAATTTTCCTGACACTTAATTATAAGCAAAATACTGCGGATGCTGGAAATCTAAAATAAAAAAAACAGAAAGACTGGAGAAACTCAGCAAGTCTGGCAGGATTTATGGAGCAAAAAAACAAAGTTAGCATTTCGGGTCTGACGTGACACTTTGTTGGAACTCCATTGCTCTGTCCCTACTGTCATGAACTGTCATGAATGAAGTCAAACTGCATATCTTAAAACTAGAAAGTCAAGCCTAAAGCAGGACAGGAAACAAACATAAAATAGCAGATCCTCACTGTGGATTGTTAACACAGAATTGAACATGTGAGTTAATACTTTTAGGAGGCCCATTAACCATGAAAATAATGTCGGCGTTTCCATCCTGTCTGTTAATTGGTTTCATAAACATTTCTGATTTGATGTTGATCTGCTTTCCCCATTTGCTTACATCTCTCGTTTATACTGTGTAGAGCATGATCATTGTTTTGTGGTTTGTGTGTCCTGCAACACTCAAGAGCTCTTTAGCGGATTCTATTACACTTAATGAATCCTTGAAGACACAGAGAATAATTGGCCAGTCTATGCCATTTTGTGAATAGAAATGCTCTTCACAACCATTTAGTGCTCATTACTGATAAACAGATATGCCACATTGTCATTTCCATTTTCAGTTTAAATTATTTCTGGAGGTAAACACTCTCCCCATGGCTTGAGTTCATTTTTTGACCCCCTCCAATCCTCTCTCTGCCCATATCGCACCTTGTGGAGGGTTTGCTGGAAATGGCTTGTTATTACGTCTGATTTCCTGACCGTTGAGCAATTTCACAGGGCTTTGGATGATTATCAGGTTACTTGGGGCAATCAATTAATCCAGAGTTTTGGCTCCTTACACATAATAGATTCCATCTGAAATGGCGGATGCATCCTATTCAGATATTCTTAGCCTGCAGATGGCCTAGGAATAGGCCCCCATCAAATCCATGCGTGTATTTATTTTTCAAAGCTTGACATGCAGACTGGAAGAACACTCCTACTTGCCAGCAACACTGAGAAACACTGCCGGCCCATATCCCAGGGCTCATAGCTGTCCTCATTCACACTCACACCCAGTCTCATTCATACAACAGCCCTGGACTCACTGACCTACACTGGCTTGCAGTTACACAATTTTAAAATTCTCAACCTTGTTTATAGATCCCTCAATGGTCTTATCCTTCACTATCTGCAACCTCCTCCAACCCGATTATAATGCCAATCTCTTACTTCTCCCAAGTTTTAATTGCTTCAAGTTTTGTGGAAGTGCCTACAGTTGACAAGGATCTGAGTTCCAGAATTGCCTTCCTAAACCCTTCCAACTGTGCCCTCACTTTCCTCCTCTAACTATTTGATCAAGCAGGCTAGGTGGATTTGCCACGCTAAATTGCCTGTTGTGTTCAGGGATGTGAAGATTAGGTGAGTTATAGGGGGATGGGTCTGGGTGGGATGTCTGACCGTCGGTGTGGACTTGAAACAGGGCCTGTTTCCACACTGTAGAGAGTCTATGAAAATTCTGTGAAGCTCTTGATCATCTGTCCTAAGATCTCCTCATGTGGCTCAATATCAAGTTTTTTCCTGATTATGCCCTGTGAAATACACTGGAATGTTTTTACTATGTTACCAAAACTATATAAATACAATATTGTTGTTCTGATCTGAGATTCCCTGTAGGTATGCGAAATGGATGAAATTAAAGGAGATATAGCCGCTGGTAGATTACCTTAAATATTGAAATAATGGCAAGGCTCAACTTCAGTCTGGATTTGGGCCTTGCAGCTGAAGTGTGCGATGCCTGGTTTTAGGCTTGGGATTGAGGTGAAATAAATTTTTACCACAGTAGGTGTTTAGCTCCAGGGGAGCCCCGGTCCTCATTTACTCCCAGACGAAGGGCTGATCCAGACAACGTTTGTTTCTTGTCTTGTCCGAAGGGAGATGAGAGAAGGTGAATCAGCTTCTCTTTGGGTGGGACGAGAATTTCTGCTTAATGGTGGGACAAGAATGGGCAGGTATTTGATACACGCAGGAGGGGGCTGATGGGGTTTTGTCCCTAAAGGGAGAAAATCAAAAGATA